CTGAAATTAGTCATAAAACTTCATACTAGTATGGTTTTTGGAAGCTTTGTCAGTCTTCACTGATATTTAGATTTATGATTGGACAAATAGATTCAAAGAAACAGCAGTCTAACTAAAAGGAATAATAAAATGTTAGCTTAATTAAGAATGGTGGGAAATTTCAAACTATTATAGAGTGTATTATAGTGTGGCAGCCCTTTAATACATAACAGTTCACCTTGGAGAAAAACTTTTGTGCACAGAGTTGTTTTTATAGATTATTACAAAGAATTATGTTTTATTCATTCATTCATTAATGTATTTGTTCAACTTTAATGTACTTTATTTACTGAGTCAGCCTACAATATGCCAGACATAAGGCTAGTTCACAACTTAAACCTGAAAAATCATTCAAAATTTTATTAAAATTAAAATACTGTTCCACATACTGTGATTTCTAGTTTTTATATTCTACTTTCTTCTTATTGGTCTTAGAGAGAATACCATAGAAGACACTAAAATAAAATATAAATCTTTAAAAATGATTGTATAAGTCATAGTAATCAGAAAAGAAAAGTAAATAAATGGCATCCGAGTTGGAAAGAAAAGAAGTAAAACTGTCATTATTTTCAGATGATGTGATACTATATAGAGAGAACACTAAAGAGTCTACCAAAAAACTGTTAGAACTGATAAATGAATTCAGTAAAGTACCAGGATACAAATTAATATTTAGAAATCGGGTGCATTTTTAGACACCAATAACAAACTATTAAAAAGAGAAATTAAGAAAACAATCTCATTTACAATTACATCAAAAAATAAATAAATAAATAAAATGCCTAGGAATAAATTTAACCAAGGAGGTAAAAGACTGCACTCAAAAGAAATTCAAGATAAATGGAAGTATATACCATGCTTATGGATAAGAAGAATTAACATGGTTAAAATATCAATACTACACAAAGCAATCTATAGATTCAATGCAATTCCCATCAAAATACCAATTGCATTTTTCGCAGAACTAGAACAAATAATTCTAAAATTTATATAGAACCGCAAAAGACCCCAAATAGCCAAAGCAGTCTTGAGAAAGAAGATCAAAGTTGCAATAACACCCTACTTGATATCAAACTACACTATGCAGCGGTAGGAATCAAAACAGCAAATCAAAACAGCATGGTACTGGCATAAAAACATAAATAATGGAACAGAATAAAGAGCCCAGAAATAAAACCATGCCTATATGGTCAATTAATCTATGAAAAAAGAGGCAAGAATATACAATGGAGTAAAGATAGTCTTTTCAATAAATGGTGTTGGGAAAACTGGACAGCTACATGCAAAAATATGAAACTAGACCTCTTTCGTGCACCATATACAACATGGACTAAAGACTTAAATGTAAGACCTGAAACCGTAAAACACCTAGAAGAAAACCAAGGCAGTAAACTCTCTGACATTGCTTTTAGTAATTTTTTTTTTGGATATGTCTCTTTGGGCAAGGGGAAAAAAAGAAAAAAAGGGCCATGTCAATCTAAAATGTTTTTGCACAGCGAAGGAAAACATCAACGAAATGAAAAAACAACCTGCTGAATGGGAGAAGATATTTACCAACGGCACATCCAATAAGGGGTTAACATCGAAAACATATGAAGAACTCTTACAACTTAACACCAAAAAAGACAAAAAATTCAATTAAAAAAATGGGTGGAGAACCTGAATAGAAGCTTGTACAAAGAGGGCATACGCATGGTAGATAGGCATATTAAAAGATGCTCAACTTCACTAATTATCAGAGAAGTGCAAATTAAAGCCACAATGAGATATCACCTCACAGCTGTCAGAATGGCTGTCATCAATAAATGAACAAACAAGAGTTGGCAAGGATGTGGTGAACAGGGACCCTCATGCACTGTTGGTGAGATTGCAAATTGGTGCAGCCACTATGGAAAACAGTATAGAGGTTCCTCAAAAAATTAAAAAATAGAATTACCTTATGATCCTGCAATCTCACTTCTGAATATTTGTCTGAAGAAATACAAAACACTAATTTGAAAAGATATGTGCAGTCCTATGTTTTTTGCAGCATTATTTATGATAGCCAATATATGGAAGCAACCTAAGTGTTCATCGATAGACGATTGGATAAAGAAGAGGTGATACATATATACAATGGAATATTACTCAGACATTAAAAAGAATGAAATCTTACCATTTGCAACAACATGGATAGACCCAGAAGGTAGTATGCTAAGTGAAATAAGTCAGAGAAAGAAAAATACCATATGATTTTACTTATATGTGGAATCTAAGAAACAAATAAACAAAACAAAAACAAACTCATAGATACAGAGAACAAACTGATGATTGCCAGATGGGAGCGGGTGGGAGGCTGAGTGAAAAAGATGAAGGGATTGAGAAGTACATTAGCAGTTGTAAAATAATCATGGCAATAAAAAGTACAGCATAGGGAATGTAGTCAATAATATTGTAATGACTATGTATGGTGTCAGATGGGTTCTATACTTATAGGGGATCACTTTATAAGTTATATAAGTGTCTAACCACTATGCTGTACACCTGAAACTAATATAATATTAAATGTAAACTGTAACTAAAAAAAAATTTAATTTAAAGGAAAAATAATGTATAGGTCACTACAAGTTGAGTATAATTAAAATGAATCAGTTATATTAGATAAAATATATTCGAAAAGTGTGAATATAGAAATGATTCTTTGTATGATCATAGAATGTTTTTGTTTTATCAATTTTGGTTTTTGTTTATTTGATTGCTTGTTTTTCACAGGAGATACAGAATCACGTAGTGATTTAGAGCTAAAGTGTACTGCCTGTGTTCAATTCTAAGCTCTGTCTCTTGTTTGCTATTGTGACCATCAGCATGTTACTACCCTTTCTGAGATTTAAGTCTATAAATCATGAAATGGGGATTATAATAGCACCTACCTCAAAGAGTATTAACATATGTAAGTTCTTACAACATTACCTGAGATATATACATATATATGTGCATATATATGTGTGTATGTATATATATGTATGTACATACACGCACAAACACATACAAACGTTATGTAATTAGTAGGAAAAGAAAAATCTTATTTTGCAAGAGTGTTTAGGTTCATTTAACCCCCGTCTACTTCTTACTATTTATTTATTTCTGAGAAAAGTTACTTATTTGAGCCTCAGGTTTTTTTATGTGTAAAGTTAAGATATTCGTTATGTCTACCTCTTGATCTTGTTCAGGTTTGAATGAATTAACACACATGAAATGGTTGGCACAGTACTTGGCACACAGTCAGCTCTCAGAAAATATTAGTTATGACTTCTTTTTATTATTTTATTATAGATACCAAGTGAGGATAGGAAATACTATCTTATCACTTGAAAGGGCAATGACAATCAATGATTACACCGGTGAAGACAAGTAAACGTTTGAGTATGATCCAAAAATGTGTTTTCTTTACTAATTAACATACTTTTTAAATTAAATTATACTATTTGTAAATAATCAACTTTGGATAAAATTAACTGAGGATATATTTTTTTATTTGCACCTTTGCTTGACTTTGATGGCAAGTTCCAAGGCAACTTTCGATGTTTTTTTTTTCCCTCAATTTAAGTAGCTAAGCGACCTTGTCATATAATTTGAGAAATAACATACATAAAAGCTGTTGAAATAGAGCATAAGTCATAAACTATTTTTTGTAGCTATCCTGATCTATGTTATAATATTAATTGATATTACTATATAAACCTCTTTGTTTTAAGGACTAGAGACAAATTTAAACAAACTCATTTAAAAAGGCTATTTTCATAGGCTTCTCTTTTCATATAGTTTTTATATTTACCCGATCTACAGATTTGGTAAACTATCAATCTTAATATCTTTTCTTTTACATATATTTCAATATAAGCCATGTTAAATGATTATCAAATGAATTATTTTTCTAATACTATTTGATTATCAAGTAGAACAAAATAAATGTGTGTATGTCTTTTTCTACACATTTCTATGCTAAAAAATTAACTATTGTTTGATAAGAATGCTAATTACATATGGAGTTATACATCTTTTATTTATTTCACTATTTTCACATAAAAGCCTATGCATACTAGTCTTTCTTAATCCCTCAAATAATTAATTGTTGGTTGCTTTTAAAATAATAATTACCAAAATTGGTTTATTAATTTTTTCTTTCCGGTTATTTTTAAGCATCTTTAGAAAAACTTTCATAGGAAATTTATCTTTCAGTGATTTCTGTTGACTTTCAACATTTTTAAAAGGAAATTGTAGTTAGGGAAAAAAATCATTTTTTCTAACAGTGATTGTCATTGAATCTTACCACCATTGACCTTAAAAATAAAACAGCCAGTTACTTTACCAGCAAAAAGAATGAACTTATTCAGGAAGACAGAGAATTACAATTCTGGACAAGCATTGTGTAGAAAAACTACTGACAAGTCTAGCAAACAAAGGAGAGGAACATCACTTACAGAGAAAAAGAGGAAGTTAGGAGCGATGCTTGAACAAATGTCATAGGAAAGTGAGCATTTAGGGTAATGATGACTTCCCATTGGCTGAGTTGTGAGAGTTCCCATTGGCTGGACTTGTTGCTAACAGGAAGAAATCTTCCTCCTACGGAAGTAATAGAGACACTTCTTGTTGGTAATGCAAGGTACCTCTTCCTGTTGGGGTCTGTACTTGATGCTTCTTCTGATGTGTAATAGACCTCACGGGGTAGTGTGTGAAAACTCTGGCCTCTCTGACTTCATTTTAAAGGAAGTTTCCTTTATTCAGTTTCACACCACCAAATATACAATTAACTCATTTCATAATCTTCACGAGAAATCTCAAATTCTCAAAAACTAATATAAGCAAATGTGAAGATGACAAGAAAATATTTTCTAGCTCACTATTGACATTGATCAACAACTTTGAAAATACTGCTCTGAATATACTACATTGTAATTTTGTTTATTATTTTTTTTTATTAGGAACCTTTCCCTGAAATTAACAAAAGACATTGATCAGGAAGCCAGGTGTTCCCATATAAACAGAATTCCCAGCAGTCCATCTGCAGATTGGCCTCTGCAAGGTTTGGAAGAAAATGGAGGCATAGATTCTCTACCATTCAGACTGATGTTGCAGGACTGCACGGCTGTTAAGACGTTATTGTTAAAGATGAAGAGAGTTCTGCAAGAGGTAATGGTTTACTCTAAGATTAATGTCTTTCAGTGTTGATAGAGAAGTCTGTAGACATGGTTAGTCCTTGCTTCTGTCACTAATTAACTGCATGACACTGGGCAGGGGTCAGGTATATTCTAGGAGCTTAGCTTTTCTCATATGTTAAATGAAGGATTTGGAGTTCTGGTTTATAAGATACTCTTCGGCTCTAAAATTCTAATATTTTATGAAGAAATCGAGAAAGAATAATTGACACCAAACCTAGGAAAAATCAGGTAAAGAAAAAAAGGCATCGGCTGCTATGTTTATTTGTTATTATAAAGCTATTGAGAGATATGAACTTCACTTTAAAGATACTGAGGCTTTATTTATATGATACAATAAAAGTAGTTTAGTCATTTCGTCCTAATAAAATCAATCCACTAAAGTCTAATCTGAATGTTTGGTTGATTTTTCCTATTGAATACATTGCCCTACCACAGCCTATGGTCATTTAGATAATGAGCTAATCAGGAAAATATATAATGGATTCTTCACCTTTATGCTCAAGAATCAGTTATTTTTTAGATTTATTATAGTTTTATTTTTATAATTATAACAGTTATTTTCTTCAAGGAATTTCTTTAAACAGTGTGTACATTAAAATTCAGGATAATAGTCTGGGATTTCTGACTCAAAATTTAGTGACATTTTATTATTTTCTATTATCGTTCATTTGATTTGTTTATTGGTAGGGGATATTAATAAATAGTATGAGAACAGAAAAATGTAACTATTAAGAATGAGTAGTGTTATGCTTAATCTTACAATGATGATCACTGATATTTGCTTTTCTAACACTTTGATGATAATAATAATAATAATAATAATAATAATAATACTAGCAGCTACCACTAGAGGCCAGAGTAGAATCAGGAAGAGAAAAAGATCTTTAAGAGAAAGGATTGCTATAGACTATTAGGGGCATCTACTCATGTGTTTTTATCAGCTGTTAAAACAGAAACTGGAAAAGATCTTTACATCTTACATCAGTTTATATTGCTGAGGGAGTATTATGCCACAGAAATTGGCAAACAAAATAAATTAGGGCTTTTAATTTTTGGTTTGTTAATATTTACTAACATACCACTATAAGAATATTGTCTCTACATTGATAACATAAGTGTTTTCCTGCATTTGTGGAATCTCCCTGACCTTTGGCTTAACATGCCACCTGAACTTCTTTCAACAACGCAAACTTAATAACAGCTGTTATATTAAAAGATATTAATCTTAAAGTCAGTAACATTCAGTACTCAGGTTTCTACCTCTCTCTTTGGCCTGGATTTAAAAAAAAATTAATACAAGCAAAGGGAAATAGAAGAACTAACAGGAAGAGCCAGGAGGCTTTCTTGGGGTACTTAATTTTGTAATTTAAAGATACTCAGTGATATTCACTATAGAGTCAATGTTCAGAATATATTGAGATTGTCTGTATACTTCCATCTGTTTCTTCATTAAAAAGTTTTTGAAGAAACTGAAGAGAATCGATTTTTAAAGCTGATGTATAATGAGCAATAATTATATCTGTTAAAGCTTGTTCAGAGAGCAGGAGATCTTATTCTTTATGGTCAACAAGAAAAGTAATATTATTATATGGTTAGCAGTAACAACTGTTTTAGTAATAAGATGTTTATAATAGATGCCTTTAAAGAAACTAATTTATTGAAATGTTTTCTCAACCAGGCATTTTCAAATGGCAATTAACATTTATTTGCTATATTTAATTACCAACTATTCATTTCAGACTAACAATACCTTTTTAATATTGTTTTTGTTCTTACGAACTTATTTTTATGATATATCGTAGTCTGACTTTCGTACACAGATTATTTTTAACTGCAGAAGATCCATTATTTGATTTTTAAGATTAAAAAAAGTAATGAGTTTAATATATCATACTAGAAATTGCTCTTATTTGACATTTTCCCTAATGGTGCTCAGTTGACATTTTAGATTTTAATTTTGAGGTGGGTCAAGTATGAATAATCTGACTGGAATCTCACACTCCTAATTTTGTCCCCCTTCTTTGAAGATCAGTTGCTGTTATTAAGACACACATGCATATTCCCAACAATCCCAAACATCAACTCCTTTACTTAAAAACACAAAAACAAAACAAAATATTAAACTGACTTTGGGACCTTAGAAATGCTACTGTCACTTTATTCTTACTGTTAGTGATAAAAGAAGTGATGATAGCAAAGGAGAACTATGTAAAATTTTCTTCTTTTGTTAATTTTTTTACATGATTCCAGAGATAGTTTCTGTTATATTTGGGTGTTTTTTGTTTGTTTGTTTGTTTTTGTTTGCTTGTTTGTTTGTTTTTTTAGTACTCTTTTAATCACTCTCTTAAAAATTTGTTTGTACTATATGGAAAATAACCAAGAAGGCTACAGGGAAGAGATTTCAGGTGTGATTAGTAGTGTAGTTTCTGGTAAGATAACAGCTAATAAGAGTATTTTATCCAGTGTTGCTTATAATCTCCCCTCTCCTGAGCACCCATGTCTTTTATAATTTATATTTAACAAATGAATGCTGAGAATATACCTAGCAAATTTCCTTAATCATGAGATATTTGAAAAGTTCTATAAATGTTAAATCAAAACATGTTGATGTAATGAGGTGAATCTATTTTAACAATGTAACTAGATTAGTGAAAATCAGAGAACTATTTATTTGAGAATCAGTATAATTACAAGCCCATTGTTGATGTAAGAAATGTTCAAACCTGTAGAAAATTTTATGAGAGTTTATTTGAGCCCAACTGATGACATGCTGGGAAGCAAGACCTAAAATGCTTGGGGAAATGACAGTTTTGCTGTTTCTTTTAAACGTTTGGAATCAAGGAGGGAATGTAAGGAAAATTACATGAAGGTGAGGGAAAGCAAGGTACAGGATAGTTAACTGTCAGTGCTCCCTTGAGGGTGGTTATGCCTTCTAGGGGTCCACAAAAGAGGATCACTCTGGCATTTCAAAGGTATGTTAACCCAGATACACAAGAATGATAGACAAGGCTTGCTTAAAAACTTTTTCGTAAAGAAGTTATAGGCCTGGGGTGAGACTGCCCACTATGACCTGTCCAGTTAAGAATTTATTATCAGATTCCCCTGTGAGGTTACTTTCAGTTAGATTTATTACAGAGCCCCTTTTTGTCCACACCTTATGGTTGATATAAATATTTGCATTTGCCATTGATTAAAGAGCTTTCACTAATTTTTATTTTTCTCTTCTCAACAACCTAGAGATAATTTTATTATTATCTGTAAAAAATAATTGAAAATATTCAAGGATCATTTTCAGAGTGAGCTGCTTTTTAAAAAATGTTTATTTTTAACTATAATTCACAAACATATGACAGAATTTTGAGTATTTTGAACCTTATCCTTCGTCATTGCTTGATAGAAATTTTTTAAATGACTTTTTTTAGCATATTTCAATGAAATGATTCCAAGAACTGTAATAATAAATTTATAACTGACATTTTCCTATCCACATACTTCAAAAACATGTTAAAAGCCTATAGAATAGAAACTTCAGCAATAGATAATTACAGAAAGAAAAAGCAACAGCAACAGCGGAGAGTCATAAAGTAAGGAAATTTACCAAGAGCAAGCAATTATCTATGTAGAAGTAGATAACAATTTAATTATTAGACTTCTTTTTAATCCTATCTTTTGAAAATAACAACATTCAAGTTTCTGCTACCTGCTTTATGTTTGTCTGTTTTTGCTTGCACAAAAAATATGTTTAAAGTAATAATTGGAAAAAAGATATACTATGAAAGATATACTATTTTCTTGCTGCAAATGCAAGAAAACTAGAGTGGCTATGCTCATATCAGATAGCTGTAAAGATATGACACACTACCAGAATTAAAAAGCTGTATTTCATAATGATGAAAGAGTCAGATCATCAAGAAGACAGAACAATTATACATGCGGATGGCCTATTTATGAAACTTGTAAATACATGATGCAAAATCTGAAATCTGACAAATTAAATAAAATAAACAAATTCACATAGTTAAATATTTTAACTCCTTTCTCTCAGTAATTGATATAACAACTAAACAAAACCAGAAAAGTTCCAAAAGCTTTGAACACCATTATCAACTTCTTTAGCCTAACTGACATTTATAGAATTCTACAGTTAACAACAGAATTTTACATTCTTTTCAAGTGCATATGGGAGAAACATCACCAAGAGAAAGTATGTGCTGAATCTTTAAAAAATGTCTCAATAAATTTGAAAGGTAGACATCTATGGAATATGTTTTTTTAGGACAATGGAATTAAATCAGGGATCAAGAATGATAAAATAACTAGAAAAACAGATATATCTGGAAATTAAACAAACTTCTATATATTTCGTGGATTAATTTAGAAACCTTATTGGAAAATTTAAAATGTTTTAAAGGAAATAATTAAAATAATAGTACAATAAATCAAAATTTGTGGAATATTCGTGTCGAAACCATGCTTGGAGGGACATCTGTAGCTTTAAAAGTTTAAGCTTAAGATAAGAAAGCACTGTAATTGATTTTTAAAAAGTGTACCAAAAAGATTACAGAAAAAATAAGGACTCAAATTCAAATTACTAATATTATCAATAAATATCAGCAGTGGATTGAGGGAAGAATAATCACTACAAATCTTAAAGACATTAAAAGGATAATAAGGAGATATTATAAACAGCAGTATGGCAATAAATATGACGATATAGATGAAAGGCAAAGTACAAATCCCTTAAAAAATACAACTTTCCAAAGTGAAAAAAGAAATTAAATCAATTTCTATTAAAGAAATATATTTTATTATTAAATAAATAAATAAAAAATTCCCATAAAGAAAAATCTAAGCCTAGGAGGTTTCACTGGTAAATTCTGTCAAATGCACAGACAATAGATTAGTGGTGACCAGAGCGAAGAGGGAGAGAGGGAAAGTATATAGGGATAAAAGGGGTCTAATATTTGGAAG